ATTTTTAACCTACTTTGAGTTCGTAATGTGTTCATAGAAACTAAAATTGAAATCGAGGAAAGAATTCATTGAATATCGGTTATAATATGGTTTGCTTGCCTTCAATCTTTTTAGGATAAATTCCATTAAGTTTTTGGATGCAGACTTGTAGCTGCAAATCCCAAACTCGGAGTTCACTTCCTTTTGAAAAACTGATTAGTCTGGGGCGATCTTTCTGAAAGTGAACTGCAATCACTGGAGTGGTATGCCCTCGGAGGATCTAGAAATTGAAAGAAGTAAACGCAGTTATCATGGAAAGATCTGTGGGACACGCTATCGCTCTGTGCGTCATCGTATGCCTGCATGTCTGCTCGCCAGGATTGAGAGGTGCGGCCGTACAACTCTGTGTGCAGCGACCGTACAAACAGTGACCAATCATTAACCCCTGTTTAACCTAATCCCCCATCCTGATTATGAGTAGCTCCCTGCGTGTACACTTGATCCGCAATATACGTCCTGAATAAACGTGCTCCGTGCTACACGTCTGTTTCCTATTATAGCTGGTTCTGGGAGTCTAGCTAGATGTAGGAGAATCTGCCATAGAGATTTCTGAGTCAGTCAGGCTTCACTAGTGTAGCAATCCGCTACAGATCCATCCGAGCTAAATTATTTCATCTCCACAGTCAAATTTGCGAATAGTTAATATCTTAAACTTCTCGAAACGGTTCCCTTTGTTGACTAAAAAGACCAGTGTGAAGAAGAATGTAGACACGGGTCAGTAAATGAGCTCAAGAACAAGATGCCAAATTAACTGAAGCTAAGATCATAAGTGCATTCAGGCCGACAAAGTCCATCAGATAGTTCGTAATATCTTTTATTTAAGTACTCTATAGAATTCAAAATGAGTCGTTGAAGAAAAAGAGAACAAAGACATGTTTTTCGCTAAGTTAGATCTTGTTAGGAAGATCTATTCACATTTTAAAACCTCTTAATTGAGCGGTTTTAACTGGCAGCTGACTATCTCAGTAAGTTGACGCCGTCTTCATGAATTAGAAAAATGTCATTGAACCAATTTCGAGCGGACCACCCACAGTCCATGCGGTACGAAATATGAGAAAGCAGAATTTTGTGTAAAGCATTTTTAAGGTTTCTTTAATTTCATAATAAATTTAGTTTTGGGCAAGGATATTTCCATTTGATCGGACCAAAAGGGTGCCATTTCAGACGTTTTACATAACACAGAGGTTTAGACTTCAGGACTCACGGGCGGAGGATTGGAAAGGCACTGCTTAGCACTACTTCGACGGGACAGGAATGTGATTGAGACTGCTGATGGTTACCTCAGCTAGAGGGCAAAGATAAGAGTCTAACTGAAAAAGTTGCAGAATGGAAAACAGAGTTGAATAACAACGCAGACTGAGTTAGAAGGAGCCCGAGCGAAGTGAAGTAAGTTATAAGTCAAACATAGCACATTGTGCGGCAGGACTGGAGAAAATAAAATGCGATTTAAGGTGGTAGCGTAGTCTTACTATCTCATGTGTATGGAAAATTTGAAGGAAAATGTACTTTGGGCTTTGATTGTCGCAATACTGTAAAGCAGTAAGTGTACTGGCTAATTCCAGCATTTTTAGACAATAGCCATTGTTCTCTCTACTTATGGACTGGGCTACAAGGCTTTTCCTAGCTTGCAGACATGTACGTCATCTTGAAATCAATAACACCTTGTTCACAAACAAAGTCAAATTGATATCAGCCCGAAGGAAGAGGACTGGACCATAGACAAATCAAATTATAATAAGGGATTTATGCGAGGCTTTTAAATGATAGACAACCGTATATAGAGCCAAGTTTCCTACACTATAATTTTTTTCAGTGTAATTACAAAAAAAGGAAAGCTTATTGAAATAGCTAATAATATACTTCAGCATCTATTTCAATAGTAGTCAAAGACCACAGGTACTATTGAATCTTGTGTAAGGCACACCGCTACCAAGTCAGGTTAAAGAAACCTCATTTGTCATGAAACATTCCGCAATGTGTGTCCATTAGTACAGAAACATCTAAGCTATTCAGCAATCAAGTTTATGGGACGTAGAAAATTATGGATCGAAAGTAATGATTTAGAGTATTAGTAGTTCGGTCAGGACATATGATTAAAGTATTCTATGTTCTACACCCTATGCCCGTTCGTTAATTTCGGGGGCAATTTTACGCAGGTAAATCATGTCAGAAAGAATTGTTAATGTTTAATCAAGGATTATTTGTGTAACATACACTGCGAGTTACCGTAAAAACGGAGCATGAAAGTATTAATGCAGCGCGAATGGGATGTAACAAAAGCATTTTAAATATATAAAAATTGATTAGGCTTACTGCATTAGACCTGGATGTTACATGAGGATTCCAGAGGGCAATTTGGCAATTATTTCCCGCCATTGCAATTAAACTCAATCCAGAATGATAATCAAATGCATTTACACCCTGATGCACCTCAATATTTGAGCTAGAATTCCAGGTCGAAAAATTAAAATTCATAAAATGCAAATCGGCTCAAAAAAGGTAGTGAACTTCGACTTACATATGACTAAGATTTCTTGCAAATGCCCTTGGACAAAAAGTGGCTAGAATTAAGAAATGAAATCGGACTCACTCCTCTTGGGCCAATTCTGATAATTGAGATGGTTTCTCGAGCCAGCTAATTGCTATCGTATTTTTCCGCTGCGTACAACAGCTTATAATGCAATCCAATTGCGGAATATATTGGACTAAATTAAGAGTCAAAGCTTTAGACGGCAAACTTAAAACCTACCCTGTCTTACCCAGTCATCGTGAGCTTTGAATCGTTTTATCGCTGACAAGGCCGATTCCCTCATTATAGTTTGATAATTGACTACAATTGTAGCGTCTAGTTTATTGAAGAATTGATAAACTTCATTAAGAGAAATAACCTTCTTTTTCTTGAAGAATATTTTTAGGGTACTCAAAAAGATTTGACTGAACATTTTTCCAAAATATGATATTTATATATCCATCAACATCACCCCAAATAAGAAAAAAATCGTGTTTGTTTTCCGGATTATGCCAGTAATCTGCACAAAGAGGGGCAGAAGGTAACTCAACCATTTTTATGGGTATTGCCAATTCCAATTTCAAATCCAACTTCGCAAATACTGCACAATATAATTTAACTAAGAATTTAACCTTACAGATTTCTTTAGTTGAGAGAAAGCAGGCTAACTTGTTTAAATTAGGTAAGGCAACTACATCGGCAACCCACAGATCACGCGGCTTACACAAATCCGTTGTAATTTTATAAGCAGAAATGGGGTGCATATCGATATTGTACGTAACTATTAACCCCTCCTAGAGATCAATGCAATGAAAATCATATCTTACTCTACTAACACTCATATAGCGATCAGGGTTACTAATCATAGCGATTCTTTGAATGTTATCTCTGTGGACAACTTTGAAAGATTTTAGATCACTCCATTTTGGAACCGATATTAAATTACTTCGCTCGTCCCTTTCTTGGTAATAAGCAATAAAATGCGACGCGATTTCGTCCCAATCAACGACACCCTCATTAGACACATCAATTTTATCAAATAATTCTTCATACTGGGAATAAATACTAAAATAATTGAAACGTTTACTTCTTGACGCGAACCCTTATTAAGTATCAAAGATAAAGCGTCTATGAACTGGTCTTTATTGATTTCCAACAGGCCATTGTGACCACTTCCAGGAACCTTAGATAATTAAATATATTTTGTTTCATACTGAGAAGGCCTCTTTTAGAGCTATTAAGTCATCAACTCTTAGTTTGGCCTCTAGAGTTTGTTCAGTTGCGCTACGAAATGCGGCAAGAAATCATTTACCTTTGTGTATGCGATTCTTTGGATGTATTAACTGCATTCATTCCCTTAATGTGATTATAATTTTAAATGTATTTAAATTCTATTCGATACTATTTTCGCGATTAAGGTCACGAAGTTTAACGATTTAAAGTTCTTATACATTAATATTCACAAAATGTTTGGAGAGTTATTTGTAATTTATCTTAAATCTCGTATGCTTGTAATATAATAATTTTTTAATAATTTAGTATATTTATATTTTTAAATTGTAAATAACTATTGCAAATAAAAGCAATTAATTTAAATAATTAATTCAATTAAATAAAGATCATGATAAATATAAATCAGCGTAAATCTGAGGTAAATATAACTCAAGTGTTATTTGGCAAAATCCCAATTACTTGAAATACCTTTGGAACATAGCAAAGCAAAATTGTTTTCTCCATAGCAAATTCAGCTTCTTGAATTAATTAGAATTATTAAAACATTCTAATACATATAAAATGTTTTCTGCTATCATGAACAGAATTAGTATATGGGTATAATTTCATTAAAAATTGATTTCAAAAATCATTTTAATGTTAAATATAAACGTAGTTTACTAAATGCTCTAATAATTTACCAAAATATGCTCGCTCAAATTGTTGATGATGCTTTTTTGGCATTAGCCTGTTAGTAAGCTTAGGGTAAAATCTCACAACATAATGAGGGGTTCGAAGAAGAGTATGTTCATTTACTATTTTTCTTCCAATTTCATCCGAATTTAAAGTTATTTTGATATTACGGTTTTTCTATTAGCCTTGACATATTGGAATATATTTTAAGAATATTATTTCCCTATTTTTAAGATTATATATTACACAAATACGCACTAAACAAATATAATTCCTGCCTATTTATTGTAGATTTACAACCAGCTACTGGATTTATCCCACTGAGCTTTAACAGGTCTAAACGTCCTTCCGAAATTCAGCATTCTGGGCCATCATTAAAAAAATCTCGGCATGAATTACATGAAGGTAAACTCGATTTTTATCTTTATTTTTTTCCCACTTCAGTTGGATCTTCAGAGCTTGTTAGTCGTGTTGAGACTCTTCTGGGAAGTGGCAATGTTGCTGAGGCTGAAGCGCTCGTTGTTTCAGTGCTTCACCATATTAGAGATAAAGCGACGTCTGCATCCTCTATCCCCGGCATCTCTGGTGCCTCGCTTTCTCGTCCTGGTGGTGTTTCAACTTCTCGATTGCCTCCCGCATATACAATCGGTCTGTTAGTGATTGCCAAACATCCAAGCGGACCTTCTCTTCTCTCCCGTCCAGCCGTTTTGGAACAACTTTACAGTCTACTTACCCTTTCTATCGGCAAATCGCGCATAAATGTTTCTCCAGCGGGGAATATATCATCCAAATCTCGCAATATTAATGTAACCTTTCTAACTGTTCTTTGCAGATTCGTTTTTCTATCGCTTTCATCCTCTATTTATTTGTAGGCTTTTGCTGCAAACCTCTTGTGGATTGCTCTAAAAAATCTACCAAAATGGCCCGTAAAGCTGCTTAAGGTGCGTAATGTTTAGTTTAGTTTTTGCTACTATTACTATTATTTTTTGTGTTTCTATCACTTTCTTCAGCTGTAAAGCTCTTGAGTCTGCTATGTAAGTGCATGGGAAGATGCAACTATTATCCCCTCTTCAAATATCGAATCATTTCCTCTTCAAGCGTTTAAGCCTGATCAATCTAAAAAATTAAAGATAAATGCGAATATAAAATGAGCTTATCGTGACTGCTTCCGATTGATTTCTTCGAGTTTTTAAAGTAAATTTGTGGACAAAATGAACTGTGCTCCTATTGTTTCTCTTTGGCTTCAGAGCTAAGAAATATAGTTATTTAATTTAGTAGGTAATCACAAACTAAAAGAGAAGGGATTGTCGAAAAGTTCTCACTCTTTACCTGTTTTTCGGCAGTTATACTTAGAAGACAGTATCTCAGATCGAGCATGGGTTGACCTGGATGAATGCAAAGCTCTTGTTCTCAATATCGAAACAGCATTTCCTGCAGTTCAGGGTGATCCACGAGGCCTCCTTCAAATTCTCTCCACGGATAAAACTCCTCCAGGCCTTCTCTCGGCTCTTAGAATCCCTTCGTCATCTTCCCTCAGTCCTGGTACTTCACAACAACAACAACAACAGCAGCAACAGTCAAGTTTTGTTCCAGCTTCTGCCTTCTCGATGAGTATTGCTGAGGCTGTTGCAGTAGCGAACACTACTCTCAGGCTATCTCAAACGGCTAAAGTAAAAATAATTTTCTCTTCTATTGAAGTATTTTGAATTAGACATATGGGGTTAATTATTGTAACAAAATTCTACTTCATTTTAAATCTATATTAGCTCAGTTAAATTCCTGTTATTTTCTTACTTTGGTTTATAAGTCATTTCTTTAGTAAAGTTTTTATTGTGCTCTAAGGCCAGTTGAACGCTGAATGTGAAATCCTACAATATTGCGCCCTTCCATCTAACTTCATATTGAAAATTAATTTTTCCAGTCCATTGATATTTTGTTATCTACTTGGGAATCCTGCTACTTCCTCTGTTTTAACTTAGATTCATCTTTTATCTAACTGAACTAATAGACTAATACAACTTTCTTAAAAGAGTTTTCTTAAAGGGGAGGTACAAGTTCCTATAAATTTATTAATGACCAAGATAAACTATTTTTTACCACGTAGCAATTCATTCTCTGTGCTTAACCTCTCGCGTGTCTACATTTATTCATGCCACCCCCTCTGCTACTTTACGTATAAATTGGAAGCGTAATAGCTGCAAATTTTAGTCCGACTTGTAAACTCAAGAATAGCTAAAATTTATTGTCTTATCACTTTTTATTGTTTTTTTTAAAAACTGATATAGTAATTGTATTTTCATTTAGTTAATATATGGCGAGGATCCTGCAAAGTTAATTTCACCTCGTTACGAATCAAATCGCTCGATTGTTGAGAATTTGATTGTCGCAACGTTGCGTGACAATCTTTCACGTCGTAGTCCTGCTGTTACTGGTGGTTTATCCCATGCGGGAGATGTTGCTATGGGTAGTTCTGCCTCGAACGACCACTTCCAGATACGTTCTCTTCTTCGTACTATTGGATTAGCTGCTGGAATTCCTGAAGTCCGTTCTCTTGCTGCTCAGAAACTTGAAGTCTGGTTTGCGGTAAGTGTATCAGTTTTTGTCTCTCTAACTTCAAGCTTTTTCTAGAATCCCAAACTTCAGGTTTTGGCTGCCGGTTTCTTTGCTATTTTGACCCTCAATTGCAATCAAAGCACAAACTCATTATTTGATATCGATTTTATGGTTACTGTTATCTTTCGTGTCCGGCAGAAGCTCTTCAAAAACACAATTCAGGTTGGTCGCTCGTTATCTGTTCTACTTAAGTTACTTAAGTAGTTGTACTTGTCGATTTATCCTCTTTTTCCTTAATAGGCATCCTACCTTGATAACATTTGTCGGATGGTTGAGGCTAATCCAAACAATCTAGATGCTCTTATTAAAATATGTCTGGCAAGTGAACTTCCGACGCTTTCTGCTATCTGTGAATCGTTTGATCTACTCGCTAAACTGGCATCCAAACAGCAGCAACCGAATTTACCCAGCTCAGTTGTTTCCAGTGCGTCAAATACAGCTAACCAACCTCAGGCCAGATGCGTGGCTGAGATAGTTAGAAAACTGGCTCCAACTCCAAGTAAGATACAGTAATGATTGTACGCACAATTACTAGAGAGGACAAATTTAGACGCTATTGGAGAACAGTTGGAGATCGGGAGAGGGACATTTTTAGCAGCTTTTTTAATCCTTTTTTTCAACTTTTCTTCCTTTTCATTTGTGCTTTATAATATCCTGTCTTTGAGTAGTTTTTAATTTTCTACAACCAGAATGACGGGTGTGGTTTATTTATTGGTCATTTGTTGGTGTGGAGTGATCTGCTCCTCTTGCCAATCTTTTCCATTTTGTTCCATTCTTAAACTTTTCATTTCAGCTTTCACTTTCTTTTATGAATGTGACCTTGCTGATTAGGATTCCCTTCTGCTACCTGAGATGAATAAAAGCGGTAGTTCCTTACCTTAAAAGTCTATGTATCTGGACCTTCATATCAGGGACTGCAATTTGTCAACTCTAATCTATTCGAACGCAGTAAATGCATCTGTTGTTTTTTTCATTAAAAATATTGTCAGATAACCATTCTAGACTGAGAGTAGTTTTCGAGTTCGTAATTAACGGCAGAATATAATGTCTTTATGAATTGGAATGGATGCTTGCAGACTAAACAGGGCAATGGTAAATTATTGAGTTGGATCATCAATAAATCTAAATTTTTACCCTGTATTTTTCTCATTTTTAATTTTAGGAGGAAGTGAATCAGGGTCTTATAGTGATTCGCTTAACAACGTTGTTCAAAATTCAATAGAGTCTTTTGGCAAGGGTCAGAGCACGGTTTACGCCCTTCTACCTAGATTACTTCAACACTATCCAGAGAAGTGGACTGTTGTGCTTGGTGAAGTTCTCCACGATCGTATTATTGAAGCCGTGGCAAATCCAAACTCGCTTTCATCTCAAATAGCTGGACCCCTCCCACCTAGCCCCTCAGAAGATGAACTAATAAATCACATAATTTTCCTCTTAAAACCCATGCGAAAATTCCTCCGAGACCTTACCAATTGGATTCGGGCAGCTGCTGCACTTCCTTCGTCAGTTGCCACTCCACCTACTGGTAGTAATAGTAGTATTATGACGGATTTCTTGCCATGTGCGGAGATTGGTTGCGTTTTGTTGGGTGCTGATCGAGAACGAAACCCCCCTATGCAGGAGTCGGCGGAAGCTGTTGTGCACCGAATGTGGGAGCTGAGTGGTGGTCAGAACTTTGGACCTGTAACTCTTTTGAGATACGCATATGGAGTTACTCATATCATTTGTCAACTGCAGATGATCTCCATCACACGAGCCCTCTCGAATGATACGCCAGTTCTCAAGAAAAAGGGTATGAAGTACATATTATTAAATTAATATAATTTCATTTTACACTGGGCACCATAACGTAATTTATTTTTATCTAATAATTTCCATAAGCATTTCTACTTTATTTACTGGCGAATATCCTAATAAGCAACAAAATCGCATTTTGATACTGTGAAAATGGCGTCTCTGTAAGCATAATATTTCCCAGGCAGCCAAACTTCTATTATGGAGGAAGACCTTTATTGCTCGAAGTATTCGAACAGTTAAGCCTATTTGATGCCGTTGGAACAAATGGTGTTAATTGTGGCTTTCCATGGGCCAGGCGACCTTATTACAATTAAAGGTGTGCATTTAATTCGTTTGAGCTAAGATCTGCAATTATTCTCTATAGTAACCTTTTTTCCATTTAATCAATATCTTTTAATGCCGAAATGTACTTTTTATCTTTTGATTATTTGGTCAGTTTAAGATTTTTAAATAGTTTCGTTAGTGGTGTTTACTTCTATATGTTAAAATCAATTTAGAATTCATGTTGTTGCTTTAGACAACGAATTGCTACTAAAAATATTTTAGTAAGAGTTGCTTTTCACTAATTTTCAGTTTTTAGGCAGTTGTCATTTCCTGCCTTGGGATTTCCGTATAGTGAAAATAGGCTATTGTCCTCAATTGGGTTGAGGACAGGTTTTCATTGTTGGCTATGATTAACAGCCTCTATTTTATTTTCCGCATTGGTGACCAATGCTAACTACTGTGGATGACTCTCCGTGCAAATTATTATGGGTATCTGTCATGATCTTCGGCATTGTTAAAGTGCGGGCTTATCCCTATTAATTTTAAAATGTCTCTTTCTTAATCGTAAATCGCGCTTTTATTGTTATTCATCTCTCTCTCTAGCGGAGGGGAATACGGATCCAATAAAAGTGCATCATACATGCATTCGTCAAATTCGAAGCTACTACTTGCGTTGGTTCCGAAACTTTCTACCGGCTCTCTTCTCCTCAATCTCTAACAATGCTCCTCTTTCCGAAGTCCTTGGTCCAGCTGTTCACTACGTCCACAAATGCTTTTCTCGAGCTTCTTTCCTCGAAGTGACTTCTTTCTTCGACGCGTCTTCGAGCACTTCTACTCGTACGGCAGTTTTTCCACCATTCTATGCGGCAGAGGATGTTTGGTCTACTGAGAAGAGTCAGAGGCAAGTGGATGGTATTTGCAGCAGCTTAGTGGCACTTTGGTATCTATATATCTGTCAGGTCAGATATCAGAGGGTCATTATGCACAGAGATCCGTGTTTTATCGTAAAATATGCAAATTTTACAGTTTATCTTAATTTTTACCTCAAATAAGTCATTGAATGCGTACTGTTTACAATAAATCTCGATATGTATTATTTTGATGAACTATTATTGAAGTGGTTGGGCGTATTCTGCTCACGACACCACCTCTGAATCTAAAAAAACACACTCTTGACTGTTCATACTAAGACTTTCAATTATAAATTCATTAATGAATTAAGAAATAGCACTTTATGTATACTTTTTTCTGCATGTCCACAAAATTAGTTCTTTATTTTCTACCTGTTCCATCTTTTTTCTCCATGTGTTTTTTGAGTGTCCAGTTTCTGTGGTGACCGATTGGTAAATGCTAGCTTAACTTTTCCATTTTTCAAAGCAGTGTATTTGATGGAATGTGTTAGTGAATTCTATTCGCCTCGTTCAATCTCACGTACCATTCGATGCACAAATCTACCGTGCGTTCGGTGATACAAATGTAACCGTGCTTGTTCGATTTCAACTTATTGTACTCCCTAATTATTACGTTTAGTACGTGATAGATTAATGAAATTTCAATTTCAGCTCTTATTATCCTTTATTATATTCGCGATTTAAATCGAAAATATGCAAAATACAACTGAAAACTTCTATTGATACACAATTTTGGAAATATTGAGGAGTTTCGTCCCATCCATTTTCGAGTTTATACCTTCTTCCACTGTCATACGAATATGATGAATGCTTGGTGTATTGCAGGATTAGGAACAATCTATCCTTTACAAACAATGTTCTCAACTCTTATGGAACACGGCAAAATATTCAGACCACGATGGTTTTCTGCACAACTGGTGTCTTTGCTATTTATTTGATATATTCACTTCCGGCATGGATGTTATTCTAACGAAAGGAGTGCACATTTTAAAGAGCGTGTGTAAAATCGAATGGCCTAGTTTAGTTTTCCCTGTTTTTAGCACACAAGTCTGCCATTTGACCTGCATGCCTCTGTGGGAAAAACACGCTATTAATCTTCTTCGATACGGTGTTGATCTCCAACGTGTGCTTCTTGATCCCATGGACGCGGTTTCCATTGTCTGTGAGCTTATCTGGCGGGGAACTGCCTTTGCATGCGAAAACAGTGAGTCTAAAATCTGGTAGTCACTCTCACTAGCTTTTTTTAAACATTCTTACGTCCTCCTTTTTTCACAGATTCCGAGTCAATGAACTTCACCAAGTTGGATGATTTAATTAATCTCCTTTTCAAGTGTTGTTATTATCGCTCCGACCCCGATTTCCCCAGGTAAATAATCATGAAGTGACCTTCAGCTTCGTCTTTCTAGTGAATTCGCAGATTTGGCTCATAGAGCGTATTATTGGAAGGTCACTATGGCTCTGGTCGCCTTGGCAATACACTCTCCAAGCACATGTGGAACCTACTTTTGGATCAATTTTCCAACTGTTCGGAAGCTTATGGAAATGGTGATCACCAAGTAGGCTCTTGCTTTAAATTTTTGACCGTATCTCCTTATTCCTTTAGTGATTTTACAAGCGATGGAACGTCGGTTGAATCCGAATATCTGGTAGGTTTTGCAAATTCAAATGGTTAATGTTATATGTCCTTATATAGAATATGGAGATGGAGAACCAGTTGATAGGGAGATTAGAGACGTACCTAAGTGAAGAGGCAGCGACTGAAGTGAATGGCAGAACTGCTGTACGCTTTAGTCTTGCGGGGAAATTAGTGCGTTGTAACCCAAGAGGTGCCTGTAGACGACCACCTGATGAAGAACTTGCCACTCTGAAACAACTCTCGTCTCGTCTAAAACTTCGTAGACGCCTCTGTTCTTGCCGGCAGCCTGATTTCCTCTTGGAACTCATTCTTTCTCAATCTACAGATCTGCCTCAACCATGGGTTATTCACTTAGTCGAGTCTCTATGTCAGGACTTCACCACTTTGCCTCTTCAATGCCTAGCGGATTACATTCTCCACGCTGCTATTAAACGTATTCGGAGTGCAGAGGAGAAAGACTTCACTGCGGGCACCCTCCTTGAAGACAAGTTCGACGTTCCATCAATTACAGATCGACAACCAGTAGAAGGTAATCTTGTGGTTAGAGCAATTGGTTCTGGTTCGATTTAACCATCATCACCCTATCTTGATGTCTCTTAGGTCCACGACGTAATCGTCTCGATAGTACTGGTAGTACTCGATCTAACACGGAAAAATCTGCCTCTTTGGATGATATGGAAATGCGATTCCTTCATATTATGCATCATCTGCAAGAACAGGCGCAGAGCCCTGTCCCGGACTTGGCAGCAATCGCTACCCAACTCGGCCCCGAAGCTGCAACGGCTCAACAACTTTTACTGGATAGTGTGGTTGAGGCCATACTTCAGTCATTTGCTAGTCGTCTTAGGGATTCTTCATCTCTTATCAGAAGAGCTGCTCGTTACGTATGTTCACGAACCTTACTATGGCTGTGTTTATTCTCTGTATATTTTGTACAAGCAGTAAACAAATGTCTGAATCAACCTTGCCCGAGCTTTCCAAAATCTTATACGAGCTTTTGGTGAGCTTTGATTATAGGCGCTAGAACATAAAATGTGAGAAGCGACATAAAATGGATATTTGTCATAGCGCTAATAATAACTAACTTTTAATTGCGTCACATGGAGAGACTGAATCTTTATGTCACCGATTAGAGTACAAGTGTACCTACTACTAAATCCAAGGTTTATAGTGGGGTGTGTGTGTTATCAGCGCATACTGAATGGGGCTGCCAACTTCTGAACGTAAATGGATCAGTACTTGCCAAAATCTTCACTTTTTATAACCACAATATGAAATAACACGTAAGTAAGCGTATGCTTATTAGTGCCCAGTTTGGAAATTGTTCAAATGTATCATAGACTACAATTTACTTCCCCATTAGTAGAACATTTAAAGTAAAATTTACTTTTAAGAACAATGAAAGTGTGTGGGAAAGGAGTGTGGGGTAGATTGGTTTGATCCCTATTTAATCACGTCCTGAACATTCACTTCCAGTTAAGGCCATCATGGTTCAATCTTCTGATATTTATTTATTTCAAATGACAGGCGTTTTGATAGATATCATTAGCCATTTAGCTGACTTTGGGCTTCACAGAGGGAAGGTTCATCAAAGTAGCAGAAAGTCGAGGGGTGGGGAACAGAAGAGAGATTCACAGATGTAAAAGAGGCAGACAGACACAAAGGTAGAGAAAAAGGTAAGGTGAGTACTGTGAAGGGGTCGAATATGACAACCAGTGGGGTCGTGGTGGTTTGAAGTCAGAAGTCAATTGCCGGTTTATAGACCTTTTTGCCGTATGAGTTTACGTTGCCCAGTGTGTACCACGTGGAGGTAAGTCTATCACACACCCCATCTTCTGATATAGATTTGATTGAAACTGACTTTATACCAGTGCGATTATACGTATGCAGTTCAAGAAGTCGTATTTAGTGTATAGACAGGGGCTACGCAAAATTAGTAAAATGGAATTGTGAGTTTAACTATGCAACATTCATTCGGATCTGCGAATATATCTGGATGGGTATAATGGGATAATGCAGAGTATTTTGTTGTCTTAATAATTAATTTTTTTTCCCACTAGTGTCTAACCCTCCTGGTTTCAAAAGATCTTCCCGTTGCTTGTTCGAAGATGTCCATAATGGCGGTTTCGAATCAATCTACGGAAGAATTTCTCCTTGTACTTCAATCTCTTCTTAGCCTTCCAGGTCTATCTGTAGCACTTTCATCTACTAGTCAACAGCAGCCACAAGGATCACTAGAGTTCATTCCCGGAAGTCGTGGAATGCATTTTCTAGATCTAATCTTGAATGCCATTCTTGTAGAGGATGAAATTGCTCCTCTCACGGCTTATATTCACTTTCTTGGACAACTTACGGAAATTGGATCTTTTGAAGTGAGCATTAGTACCATTACTGCTTTTTCAAATGCACTTGTTCCTATTATTTACTACTTCGATAACAAAAAATAGAAAGTTCCTCATTCTAAATAATATTTATTTATTTATATCAAATGGCAGGCGTTCTGATAGTTATCATTAGCCCTTTAGTTGACTTCAGACTTCACAGAGGGGAAGGAACATCAAAGTGGAAAAAAAGTCGAGAGGGGGGGGAACAGAAGAGTGCTTCAAAGACGAAGGTAGACGAATATGACAACCAGATGGGTCGTGGTAGTTTAAAGTCAAAAGTCAATTATCAGTTAATAGACTATTTTGCCGTATGAATATACGTTGCCCAGGGTGCACCACGTGGAGGTAAGTCTATCGTACACCCCTTCTAAATAATATAATAATATTCATTACCTTGTATGCCCCATTTACTATTAGTGAACACTTGGGGTTAGGCGAAGTGGGCTTATACTTCGGGTTTCGGGAGAATTTGGTATCTTGCCTTTTCTCCGAGTCTACGCTGATGCTTTTTTGAAACATTTTTTGAAGTGGCTTGTACTGAATTCGATAAAAAATGTTAAGGATGAAATGCTAATACACGACGTTTCAACCACCCT